TCCTATTTGCATAAACTGTTAAGTGGAAAGAATAATTTGGAGCTTCGGGAATCTGGAATCTGGAGCAAAATCCAAATACAGCAAGAGCCAATATCAAGCAAAGCTACATTGCATGAGACGTTTATTTCCGTCAGTAGAAATAGAAAGTGTCTGTGCTATGAACAACTGGGGCCACGATTTCCCTGCTTAGGAACAATGGGGGCTTCTGCCTGCTAATGTGCCGTTAATCTTTGTCCCTCAAGTACACCCTAGTCTCCTTGTGTTCAGGGTAGCACGTGTATTTAGCATATCATTTTAATGTTAGACTTAGAGAATGTGGCAGCTGTGGCTAGTATGCTTCTGCTGTTCTGGGGATCGATGCTAATTTGGACATCCTTATGTTTGGCAGGTGAAGGTGTGGTTAATCACTACCTCTCACCCCCTTGGTTTTCTCATGGTGACTCCTGGGCAATCATATTTCTCAGCTACATCTAGCCTTTTGACTATTTACAAGAATTTATCTCCTCCCTGGAAGGTTAGCAGGGCAAGTGCATGTGAGTATGTATGATTTTTTTGTGCTGTTACTTTGACAAGACATAACCTTGCGTGAAGGTTGGAACCTGACTCTGAAGTCAAATAGTTCTTCAGAGTTTGTGGCAAAACTGTGTATGACATTCTCAAAGTGACACACTATAATGACAGAGAATAGATCAGTATTTGTCAGGATTCGGGTTGGAGGGAGTGTGGCTATTAAGGGGTGACCTGAGTGAGCTCATCTGTGGTAATGGAGCACTTCATATCTTGATTACAGTGATGGTTACTCGAATCTAAACATCATACATTTCATAAAATTATACACCAAAAAAAAAAGTTCTTGTGAAAACAGGTGCAATCTAATCATAGCCTGCTTTGAGTTAATAATATTAAATCAATATCAATTTCCTGACCTTGACAGTGAACCAGGATTATGTATGATTTTGTCATGGGGGAAGCTGGGTGAAGGGTACATGGGAACTTGGTATTCTTGTTTTTGTTTGTTTGTTTGTTTGCAACTTCTTGATGATCTCAAACTATTACACTGTTTCAAAATAAGAACCTATTTAAAAATAAGACTGCAATACTTTTCTCCCTTTCACTGTCCTCTCTGCACAGATGCAAAATTCTTTCCTTATCTGGCATTTACATCCACATCACTGAATGACATGCTGATGCTGATATTTATTATTATTTTTTTTTTAGGCAACAACTACTTTATATATATGTGTGTGTGTGTATATATATATACATATGTGTGTGTGTATATATATATATATCTCCACTATGTAAAATAAGAATATCTCTCACTTTTCTCTACCACATACATGAATATTTATTATTTTGTTTTTTTAGGCAACAACTACTTTATATATATGCATGTGTGTGTGTATATATATATACATATGTGTGTGTGTATATATATATCTCCACTATGTAAAATAAGAATATCTCTCACTTTTCTCTACCACATACATNTATATATATATCTCCACTATGTAAAATAAGAATATCTCTCACTTTTCTCTACCACATACATGCCTTCCTTCCTGTATCTCCAGCCTTCCAGTGTAATAATCATATTTTGTCTAGATTAATATTCATTGTTTAAAATATTATAAGCATGTATACTAATCCCAGTTAAGCCAAATATTAAATTATAATTACTTTTTTCTTTTCTGCATATTGATCTTCATAATTAAATCTTCAGAACTGAACAGTGATTTGGTTTTATTCTTTTTCTTGTTTTTTCTGTGTATTTAACTCCTATGTATTCCCAAACGCTCCACTAGTTGTCTAAAGCACCTCAGGAAACATTCGTGCACCTGACGTTTGCTGGAAAAGTCTTTTCCAGGACCTTCTCCGCGCCTGGTGTTCTGCCGTCTTCCTGGGTCCTCCCTTCACCATCCATCTGGAATTCCTCCCACCTCTGTAACAACTCGGGTCTGTTTCCCTCATCTCTTGTCTCTGTCTAAGTGCACTTCCCAGTTTGGTGGAGCACATCCTCAAGCAGTTTCTTCCTGAGCATGGAGTAGAAATTTTTTGAGAACCCGCATGTGGAAGCAGTGAGATTTTAATTAAGCTGATACAAAATTATAAGTTGGGAATCATTTCCCCTTAGAATATTTAAGATTTTTTTTATTGTTGTTAGTTTCCCGCGTGTCTGTTGTGAATTCTGAATCCATTCTGATGTTTAATCCTTTTTCTTTCTGGAGGACTGTACAATTCACGTCAGTGTACCCAGTGTTCTGAAATGTGTTGATCCTGTGGCTCGGCAGGATCCATTCATTCTTTGTGCTTGTCACCCAGTGGGCTCTTCCAATCTGAAAACTCGTCTCCTTTCACTTGGGGACATTTTCTGGAACTACTTCATTAATGGTTCCTCCTATCTCTATTCTCTGTTTGTTTGTTTTCTTTCTTTCTTTCTGTTATTCACATGTTGAACCCTGAACTTGTCCTCTTAGCTTATCTTTTCTCCTATCTTCCATTCCTTTGTCTTTTCCCTACTTCCTAGGAGATTTCCTTTACTTTAACCATCAACCATTCCACTGACTTTCCATTTCTGCTGTGATATTTTTAATTTCCAAGGGCTTGTTGTTTTTCCTTTCTGGATTTTCTTTTTTTAATCGCATTCTATTTTTGTTTCATGGTTGCAGTTTCTTAGCTCTCTGTGAATGTGAATGGTCGTCTGTTTTTAAGACTACGTTCTTTTCTGCGTGGGCTCTGTTTTCTATACATTGCTCCTCCCTAACCCCTCACCATTTGCCTGTTTTGGGTCTTTATATCATACAGAGACTTTTCTCCTCGGTGTCTAATAATTCTTGTTTGTCTGCTCATGTAAAAGAGTGGGGGAATAAAAAGCTGCTAGAAACTCTGAGCCCATGCATAGGACTTGCTGACTAGAAGCATCACTGAAAGGTAATCAGGCTGGCTGTTCGGAGTAGCCCCAATCTTAGTACCTTTTCGTTTTTGCTCTTAGGATGATAGAATTCTCTAGAATCCTGTTTTTCATCGAGGGTGAAGACCCAGTCTGGGGACAGCCTGGGAATCTCAATGTTCAGTATGCATGGGATCATGATGTTTCTCCAATTCTAGTATGCTACCCCAATTCTCAACTCTTCCTGGTACCCCCAGACCAGATATAGAGTTCCGGCAGTCCCGCTGTGGCTGCTCCATAAATACACTTAAATCCTCATTATTTTTGTGCTCATTCACTCCCACTTTTAGAGGCACCTAGTACAACCAATTCCTGAGTCTGAGGGATTCTATGGTATAAACTGTGTTGGTTCCTAGCTTTTCTTGCTGACAGCTTATGACTCAGTTTTGAAGTTCTGCTAACTCATTTTACCTACTGTATCTCTGCCTTCCAGGTTCACGATCTGTGTTTCCTGCTGTGTGTCCTCTCTCCCCATTGTGGGTTTATGCCTTTAAAAACAGCCCCTTTACTCTCTTTTAGGTGGGATTTGCGAAGAGGGTTATTAGTAGATGTAGATGTTCTGCTGCATCTGCCATTTTTCTCATTAGTTTATTGATTAGAAAACTGAGGAATAGGGAGGCTAAATGTCAAGGCCAAAACAACAGCCCTAAGAGGAGCTATTTGCCTTTTGTTTGTTTGTTTGTTAGGTTCTTGTCTTAATTCCCCTTTGCTGAGTGTGTGCAATGCACGTGACATTAAGCAGGTCAGAGACCTCCCTAAGGTAATATAACACTAGCTAACATTTACTGAGTGCATAGTATATGCCCGACACTGTTCTAATCTCTTCCTATGAGTCAATATATTTAATC